CTTTTAGAAAATTCTATCTAGGAGGTCGGTTTAGAAGGCCACTCTTAATAGAAGGCCACCCTAAAAAGTTTGATCCGACGGGACACAAGAGAAAGCCATGCCCTTCTATTCTGGGGGGGGGTTTAAGTGTTAATCACAGATGCTAACGAGAGATACCCCAATCGGTCGAGCTCTATCGATTGGGGTATCTCTCGTTAGCATCTGTGATTAACACTTGGGATAGTTCCCTCGTGAGACAATATGTGAAGATGATGGAGAGGGAGTCGATTGTTGAGATGATTAAGGTTGTTCTCTGGGCTGTTTCATTCATTTGTAAAGACGATAGATAGCATCGACGTCGATTGCAGCATACCATCTTGAAAATTTACCTTTTCTAGGTCCTGATCACGCGTGGGGGCCAGCAATTTATTTTAGGCTTAAACCTGGCTATTTTTCATTGACGAGCCTGGCCATATTTGATGTCTACGTATAGATCCCAGCAGAGATCGACGAGTACGAGTATATACTCGTACTCGAGTACAAAATTTCCAGTACTCGTACTCGAGACTTTTTTTTACGAGTACTTAAAAATGTACTCGAGTATTTTGGAGTACTTGAAATTTTTTAACATGCAATAACCGATAATTAAAATAACTTTTTTCATGCGTATTTTCTTCTTTTAAAAATTTTGGTACTCGAGTACTTATTAGAAAATACTCGTACTCGTGCTCGAGAATCTGTGTACTCGCCCATCTCTGGATCCCAGTAGTTAGTTTGTCCGACTAATTTATTTTGGACTCTAATATGGACATTTATCATGGATGCTCATGGATCTCCATGCGTTCCCAGGCCTGGACTTAAACAAGTTCCCACGCGTGTGATTAACGTAATTAGAACAAATTATTTTTTGTTTCCAGCATCTCCTATAATGCTCCCGGACGTCGCCCATGCGTTGTATCGTCTACAATAGCACCTATCACTCATATACATACAATTTTTGATTGTTTTCTAGGAGTGAGATTTGAACATACATACTAGAATTATAAATTCAGCACTTTCTGGCCATACCATATTGCTTGTGAACAAAATAGTGAACTTGTCATTTATATTTGTAATAGATACCACGCACGGGCTTCCACGTATGAAAATACCTTCCCACAGCTTCTGTCAAAGGAGTAGAGCGGATAAGACCCTTTTCTGGCCCACTAAATTTTTGACTTTTTTGCATGGAATCATGTCAGGAAATGCTCAGGAACATTTCCAGAAACTTAGTTTCGCGAAATCTCACGGTCAGGTTTTTGACGCCTGGGGTCCTCTACAGGACTCCTGAAAAACTTTTTGTTTTTGATTTTCTCCAAGCCCACCTGATAATATGTAATAGACCATGCTGATCACGAATATTTGTATTAGAAGTGTCAAAAATGATTTGGTAAGGAGTAATGTTCAGTTTACCTCAATTTTGTGGTTTTCCGCCGAAAAGGGTATTCAAGCCCTCTTCGCCGAGGAAGCACCGAAAAATTAAGATAGATAGTGATTCGGATGCAGAATTTCATGCTGAATCCGAATATAGCATTAGAAAACATATTCGAGCGCAAGATTTCTTGAAAATCGGCAAAATCCGGCGAAAATCGTGTTTTTAGGCGGTATTCACCCTAGATGACCCAGACATAAATTAAAACGCATCATCAAATTTTTACACAATATGCAACTTTTCACGCTCTATCCGATGGTGCCAAAGAAAGGTAGGAAAAAGTTGTGAAACAGGCCTAAATCTTTACAATTCCTGTTTTTAGGGGGAATTCTGAGGAATTCTGCCCGTAATTCTCAATTTTCTCGATCAGACCTAACCTTTTATGCAGTAAAAATATCATATTTAGAATCAGGGTCAAAAAACGCGTCGACTGATGTGTATTTCGAATGTTTTAGTTCATTTACATTTTTGGGTGAAAATTTCCATGTGTTTTCAGCGTAAGAATTGGAAAAAAATTAAAGTACGTAGATACGATAATTACACACATCTGTTGACTCGGTTTTTGACTCTGATTCTAAATATGATATTTTTACTGCATAAAAGGTTAGATCTGATCGAGAAAATTGAGAATTACGGGTAGATTCCCCATAATTCGCCCCAAAAACAGGAATTGTAAAGATTTAGACCTGTCGATATCGACCAACCATCGTGAGAAAGTTTCCAATGTCTTATTGTGTAGAGCAAACATTTGTGCACAAAACTGTTGGCTTGAAACAATTTAAAAAGTTTCACGGATTTTTAAAAATACTGCTCCAAGAGCCTGATAAAGAAATAACCATTTTTTCTAGGTCAGAAGCGAAAAAATCAGAACTCACCAGTAATCATTAATTTTCTCCGCCACAACTTATCTTTTATGCTATATACATTAAAGTCTTCTGTGTGCGAGTGTTTTAAAACAGCACTTAAAAAAATACTAGAAAAAGCAGTAAGGGATGCATAGCCATTGATTCCAGTACAGGAAGCACTCTCTTATGTGTGCAAAGAAAGCAAACATTAATCGGCTTAGTGGATACAGCTGTTTTAAAACAAGTATTTCAACTGAAAATTCTAGCAGAGATAATTTTTAAAGAGTAATACAAAAGTGCAATTATTATCTATATTTTAAATTATGCCACAAAAGCTTCAATCCAAACCAGATCTGATCCTAGCGTTAGGTTGGCTTGCAGACCAAGCGCCACTCTTCAATACTTGGAAAGAAGAAAAAGAATACACTTATTTGGTTCACTGATTCTTCAGCTTTTTTAAATGATGTATCGACAAGTGCTACAGAATACCATTTTTGAAAAATGATTACAACTCTATGATCATGTCGATTAAAATATATCGGTCACACTTGGCTTCTCATGCTCTTTTCAATGAGATCATTGAAAATTATCTGAAACTGACGCTACTCATTCTCTAAAGAAAATACTGCTGATCATATAATTTTTCAAAGAATTAAACAACTTATACAAGAGTATTTTCATTGTTTTCTAGACCTTTCAACAAAAGAGAAATTGATAGATAAAACAGCAGATCAATCTCGTTCTATAATTTTCCACAACTCTGGAGAACTCCGATATAAATAAAGAAATAGTAACGTATGCGCTACTATTCTTTTAGGCTTTACAAACCAACCGTTCGCAGAAGTTTTGTTCTTTAAATAATTTAAACGTAACAGTTAATAAATAAATCAGCATAGCACCAAGTAACGAGCCCAACTGCGTTAATAAACCAAACCACAGTAAACCATTGTGACCATGTGTTCGACAAAAATAATTTCCTAATGCGACTCGTTCATAGGAAAATATTAATATAATCATCACCCACATGAAACTCTAATAGAGACAAGTGCTAAAGTGAATGACGGAATAGTAGAGAAAAAATGGTTTACTTACAATTAAAACTTTTCCAGACATTGTATCGACTAACAGTGGACAGGGACTCAATTTGGCATTTAAAAATATGTACACAAATATCAGAATGCCTATGAACGTTAATAAATAAATAACTTTTGTGGATACTTCTGGAATGAATACGCCGATAAGTGATATTAAAGGGTAAGACAAATAACCTAGAAATGAATATATATCAGATTAAATTATTTAGATATGATGAGCCAACTCTTAGAATCAATATCTGTTATATGAAGATAGCGATATAACAGATACAAAAGCTTCTACCACATTTGAATAGTAGATGATTATCGCGTTTCTGTTCTTTCATTTTTGCACCGTCAAATTCATTCTGCTAATTTACCTGCAATGACTGTATAATGAAATAATTTTATTCCATGTGGATATAATGTATAACTATTGATCGACGGTATAATGCCATACAAGAGTGTTGATATCAAAAATAGTATACATAATAATAAAAAATATTCAGATTTTATTGAACGTGTTTTATTTTCTTTATCATTTTCTAAACTAACAACCATGAACTGTTGTTGTTCCAGAGCTCTCTCATTCTTGACTCGTCCATGTCTGGTTAAACACAGTAAAGTAAATGATATCAAAGATAAACATGTAAAGATAGACAAAATAAGAAAATACGTTTGAATACTGAATATAGTTTTGTAATTGGCATGATTATCTATACAATTCATGTCTCCAGCACCCTGTATTAGCCCTAATACGCCAGTTAGTAATGATTGCAATGATTCTCCAATAAAATAAGCATTTAGATACAGTGGTTTATAACGGTTTAAAAACGGAATGAATGTCGTTAATGATATAGAGTCACCAATTGACATACCAAAACAAATCAACAGCAAATACAAACTATGATGTTGACTCCAAATCAGCACCGTTTTATTCCATGTAAATGCCAATAAAATTATTAAAACGATACCGGACAAATAGATAAGAAAATTGATCGGGATCTCGTACGTTTTTGAAAAATTATTTCGTTTACAGTACCGATAGATGACAATTAGTATTGGAGCAATTGACGCAAAACTAATCACTAAACTAAGTTTAGCCGGTAACTGCCATGATTCGGAGAGTAATGGAACGAGCAACGGTAATTCGATCCATATACCACTCAGACTTGTATACGTGCCGAGAGCTAAAGAAGAAAACGTCTTCACGGTAATACACGATAGTGATGTCTCATTTAAAAACATTCAAAGTCTAAGGCGAGCTGAACGAACTTGTTCTTTCTCAATAATAGATCTGTCTATCAAATCTTTCTCATGAGTTTTATTGTAGAGCCATATCAAATAAGGCATATCTACTTCTTCTATCCATCTCGCACATGCTGCGCATTTCTATTGTGACGAAAATAACAGAACGAAAAATTCGCTATCCTCTTGCATGTTTATACGTCGGAAAAGAAAAGCAGACTAAATATAAGAGCAAGTAAAAGCAAGTTATGGCATATAAAAGCAAGTTAGAGTTTCGTCACAAGCTGTGACGGAACTCTAGCTTTCTGTTGTGACTTACAACAGAAATGACAGAAATGCGCAGCATGTGCGAAATGGATAGAAAGAAGTAGATATGCCTTATTTGATACAGCTCTAGTATGATAATGAGAGAAACGTATTAGATCAACTGAATGATATGTAAAAAATACTCAGTGCATGTGAGATATGTTTGTTAGCGTTTTCTTCTTCTTAAACTACAAGTAACACTTGGTAGTACTAGCTGAATTCTTTGACTGTAAGTTATAGTTCACTCTCACAGTCTTCGAAGATCCTGTAGAGATTCTCAACAACCGAATGCTCACCCATTGTTATAAGCTAACACCAACTCAGAAACCAGTAGAAAAGCTAATAATTCTCTGGTGATCATTTAAAGATTCTAGAAACCATAATTTTCTGGATGAATTGTGAACTCCTTTCTGTACCATTCTACAGTGGAACAAAAATAATTTTTTCCTGCACATCCTCCACCTTGTGAGAGATAGATAGACATTTTTCGTTTTATGATCGTAAATTACAGTCAAGAGAACAATTTGTTCGTAAAGCACTAATCAAATAACAGAATATGTCATTTGCTTGTTAACCAGAAAAACAATTATTTTTGCAACTTTCTATGCATTTGGTGATGAGCGTTTGTTTTATAAAGGATCCTTGCCCATAGAAATATTTTCAGCAAAAGCGCAACAGTTGGGCAGACGACAAGTATGACTGAAAAAAATAACTGAGACGTTCTCGCGATGAACAAGTTTTGAATTGATAAATTAAGTAAAGTTTACAACAAAAAAGTGCCCGATTCGTTTAGTTCACCGCGTCTAAAAGTATAAAGATATTTATTTTAGCACGATCCGTGCTTGAATAGGCAAAGTACTATGTCTATGACACAATTTTCCCTTACTGAACAGATGAGATAAAAAATTACTAAAAAGGTTGTGTGAGAAGTAAACAGTATCACTCAGTAGTAATGGTGCTGGCATTTCTTTCTAGAACAAACCGTCGTTTGATGCTGTAGATAAACTGTTAGTGAAATCTTAACGAAAAAAATATGTAAGTCACAAGTATAAGTCAGTCCCACCAATTACAAACTTTTAGTCGGAGTGAAGTAGCACAGTCAAAGGCGCACAGTAGTATAGGTACACATCCACTAGAATTTTTATAAGTTTATGCTTTATTAAAATAGAATAGATATTATACTGCTAGGTTCAAAGTTGTTCAAAAGAGAAGCATTGATAAATACCGAAAAAGATGATTAATATGTAAACAAATGTTGTACAACAGACGCTTTCGCCATCGGTTTTAATAACAAGGTCAGTCATGCCACGTTATATGTGTGTTTTTTCATATCGTTTTCTTTCTTCTTACAGCAGGTCGTTCCTTTCCTCTTTCGCGTTTGGTATCCTTTTCTTTTTCACATCAATATTTTTGAGGTTGAATGTATTTTTGATTTTTCTTCTGTTTACCTGTTAAGTGATGTACGTGAATCAAAAGCATGTCGTACGTTGAAAAAGTTTTGCCGTGCTATCTAATTTGTCTCCAAATATTTTTTAAAGAGATAATTTCTCGAAAATTTCTTCATATCTACAATAGGAGTCAAAAACTTTTCTTGTTTTTCTGAATCTCTTGGCAATAAATAATTATAAATTTTTTGAGATGCATTTCACTAAAATCTCAACTATACGCAGACGGTACTTTTTTTTCGGCGAATAAAATCATATAAAAGATTTTGCTGTTAACTAAGGCGCTGTGAAGCTGGAGTTGGTCTCTAGCTGAAGCCACAGGTCACAGTAAGGATGAAACAAGCCGGATTTTTTATGTAAGCTTTGGTTTTGTTGGTGCTCAGGTTTTTATGAAAAAGTTTTTGACTTATAATATTTCTAGAAAAATTTTGCGATAGAATATTAAAACCCGAGGCTCTTTTCACCGTCTCCGTATCTGTTTCTGCCATCTTGAAACCAGAAGGCTCTCTTCATCGCTTATGAGAAAAAGATTTTAGTGTTGGCTCAGTTTTTGAGTTGGCCAAAAGAGTCAACTGGAATGTTTGTACTTTCGTCATTGATGAAAGTCCGATAATACTTTCGTCGCTGACCAAAACCTTATCTGACTTTGATCAGGGGACAGAAGTACTGTCGAACTTTCGTCACTGACAAAAGTGTCAGATTATACTTCGTTAATGTTCTAGTTGGGACCGTCGGATACTGTTCCGATATTATAGCGCAAAAAATGGAACGAATCAAACGTGTTCATGGATTATTGAAATCAGAAAACAAAACATTAGGGGTAACGATTCATGCGCTGTCGTTTCTGGTCAGTGATAAACCAAGAAGAAACAGCAACAAAAAATAAATTGTTGATCACAACTTAAAGGGATGCTTGAGTCAGCTACATTAGCTTAATAAGTGAACAGTACCTGAACTGAAAGGTGCGTTTCTGGGATGAACTTTCGTCAATTGTTGAAAGTACAGCCACACTTTCGTCAACTGACCAAACGTAAGGTGGACTTTTTGACAAAAGTCTTACAAAACTTTGGTCAGTGACGAAAGTACTTGTTGGACTTTCGCCAATGACGAAAACATTGGTGACGAACGTTCCAGTTGACTGTTTTCCGATTCTCCCAATGTTTACCCGGATTTGGAGGATATCTCATCACAAATGGCGGATGAAGTCAAAAAACTTTCTTCTACATACTTTAACAAGCTCAACAAACTTCCTGATAATTTTCTAACACGATGACTTACCAAGTACAGTTATCATATTTTATACCGGTCATACTTTTGTCAAAACAGGTTTGAACATATGTTTATGTCTATCAGACTGATTGCAGTTGAACATTTCTCTGCAAAATGAGCTGTTTCATAATTCCGAAAAAATGAGTTATAAAGGTTTTCGAGGTACCCGTAATCCAAGCGTCAAAACATAATCTATTATCGCCCGATTCATCTAGATTACTAGATTTTTACTTGATTGCAATTATTGTGTAATGACAGTGGAAATCTAGTAATTGGCCGATTACTAGATTTTTTCTAGTTGCAACTATCGATTTATCGCCCGATAATCGATCGATTTAATTATTGCTAGATGCACATGCAGACGCATTTAGTTAAAAGTGCCTTATTCAACTAGTAATCTAGATGGCAACTAGTCGTGTATAGCCCGATTATAGACGAAATGTATCTAGATTTTTCTCATAGGTGATACTTGCTTGGATATCGTTGTAAGTAATGTATGACAACCTTTACTAGAACCAAAATCTTTACGAAATTATAGGTTCATTTGAAAAAAATTGCACATCTTCCATCTATTGGATACTACGACTAGTGAGCCGTTAAATGTTGTTTGTTTGAGGGGTTGATTTTTAACGACTTCTTTAATCAAGTTTGATGTGAGAAAAATTTGCTTGATGCAGAATTGGTAGTCAGTATACACGATTAGCTAAAGCCCTTAGAATGTTGGAAACGCGGCAGAATAACACTCAATGGATCTGCATACGGTAACATGCTATCTATGCAACAGTGAAAAGCGCTAAGCTTTCTCAATAGCCATACAATATCAAGCTATGAAAAATATTTCAACATATGCGCCTTATAATGCTCTACTTAACCCTATCGTAGAACCGCCCGAGAAATTCGATTGCTTTTCATAAGGAACTAGAAACATACTTATGTCATCAGTTAATAGCTACTTTAGAGAACTTTTAAAAATATGTATAAAACTTTGATGCATTGGTTTACAGTGGCAAAAAATGACTTGTGCACTTTTTCGTATAATCATATCTCTATAATGAAAACAGCTCTTCACAAGCGGTTTGTACCAGAATATTCTCCGCTCTCTCTAGCGTATTTGTAGATAAAAACTAGTTAGAAATATTCATTGTTGCTCTCTGTAAGCCCATTAGACCGAAAAGTGAACGTTTTACGATCGACAAAAATTATTTGTACGGTTGATAAAAATCTATTTTTACCCTGTATAAGCATCGACAAAATATGAAAACTACATCAATCGATTGAAGATAGCGCTAACTACATTTGGTAAAAAAATAATTTTGAAAAGCTTTTTCGTTCGGGTGAAAGCGCGACTTTAAGTCAAAAGTGTCATACTCTTTAGTGTGACTGCTGAATCTCGAAAATGAGTGGGTGAAAAAACAATTCTGATTAAGCCGTTCGAAAGAGCATTAAAAATTCAGTAAAATAAATACAGCCTGGAAATTAAGTGAAAGAATTCGGTCCATTTTTTAATGTTTTGGATCTTAGGGCTATTTTTGAAACATATTTTCTGCACAGGACGGTAAACATCTTTTGGATATCTTTGCATTATCATGTACTCAATTTTTGAATCAGAATATTTTTTTCATCCACTGATTTTCGAGATGCAGCAGTCACACTAAAGAGTATAACACTCTTGACTCGAAGGAAAAAGCTTTTCAAAATTATTTTTTTTACCAAATGTAGTTCTGTCTACAGGCCATCTTATTTTCTCTAAGCATGTAACCAGCTGCTTGTATTGGAAAATGTTATAAATCAACAATTCATCTATGTATTCTAAGAGTTGCATATGGCTCAGGGATTTATAGCAGAGAATATATCTCTCTGCTCCATATGATATGGTCATTTAGCGAAAAAGTGGTGTTGCAGCGAAAAAAGGATCATAATCCAGTGCTAAAAATACAGGACTTTGAAGTACAGTAATAACGCTTATATTTCTGTATGAAAAGGCGATACAACTTTTGTAATTCTGCGCAAATATTGACAAAGATAAGAGTAATTAGATTCTATCAACTCATAAGAATTTTCCACGACACTTCCTAAAGATCTCAAGATCTTCAAATTGATGGAAAATCTTATATTGTGAAAGTTCACATTCTGACCCCTTCTCGAAGATCATCATAACCAGAATTAACTGCTTGATGGCTTGAAAAATTAACGACTTCATTTCAGATCTTTTGCAAGAATTATAAATGACTAGAGTCCTAAGTGATAGTTTACATCGGGGTTTTCATTAAGCGTAAATGAGACAAGATTATTAGTTGAATAATTCCAGATACTGTGACATTTTGCGTGTGTTTCGTTTTGTAATGGATAATCAATTCCGATAAACGTGTAAAATAGCTAGAAAATCTGGCCTTCTTATCCACCTCTGGAATTTTTACGTAATGCATACGTTCTTCTCAACATTATCTAGATTTCGGCTTCACAATACTTCTTTTGGGACCTCAAGTGGTTTGTTGTGGAACGCAAATGTTCGGTTAGCATTCTTCGAAACTAGGTGACTATACAGTTATAAAATATTCAGGTTTTTTATCAAGTAAGCGAAAAAAGCAAAAAAAATCAAAAATCGATACACGAGATTCAGATAGATCCGTTTATCAGACAATAAACTTACTCAACTACGAAAATGATTTTAAAAGTATTCTCTTTTCAGATTCGACATCTTTCACTTAAACTATCTATAACTATAATTGTGTCTATTAGAATTATTTTCAGGAGCATGTAACTTTAATCGTTTTTGTTAAACATGTGCTCTTGATCATGAAGTCTTTAGTATAACTTAGACAATTATTCCGACTGGAGACATCGAGATTCTGAACGAAATGATAACTATATAATTCCAATCGACTATTGAAAACATTAGGATGTATGGGTTTAACTGTACTATATCCTGTTAAACGTGGTCCTGGAATCCGCCTTTGTACTTGAATGGAGTTTTCACTTTTATTGAATACTTAACACTCTTCACACATATCATTAAAATTCTGCCTAACTGCATGAGATTATACGAGTATTTATACCCGGGGAGAGAGAAAAATATTCCTTATTAAAACTCACAAAAAAATATAGAATAGACTGGGAAAAAACCGAATCTTTTAGAGCACACGGCATATGACTTCTGTTTACACGTTATAGAGAGACAAGTGGAACGAAAAATACTTTTATCTGACAATGAACAAAAGAATTTGAAAGAGATTTTTCCCTTCTACACATAAGAGAGATATAGATTTGAATGACTGGATGAAGAAGGAAAAGAATCACTACTATTCATACCAAAACGTCAACACTTTCTTTGACCTTGCACAAAAGAATCCGAAAAGGAATTTTCCCTTTTTATACATAAGAGAGAGACCAATTCTAATGACTGGATAGAAAAGGAAAAGAAGCAATATTAGTAGTGACAAAATGTCACTACCTAACATATCCTATTTGTAGAAACCTATAAAAACGCATTTACGAAACCCTTTGGGTTTCCGGAGGATCTTTAGAAAATCTCTAAAGAAAAGTACGATTTTTCGATGTTATAGTCATGTTTCACCGACAAAATTGATCAGCCAAAGCACGAAATTTCATAAGAAATAAGCTAGCTGTTCTTGCTGACGAAGCGCCTGCTCATCCGTTGACTGCAGCTAGCTAAAAGAGTAAAATTTATCAGGTATAGCTACCCGCAGTTGGACAAACCCGCTAATCCGCTTCAGTACTAGTTGCAGCGGGTCTATATATATATATAGAATGAAAAAACTGAAGGAAAAAAAACAAAAAGAAAGAAGAAGTATCTGGGGAAAATTGAACTCTGTATATAAAGATTAATAATCTTCTCCGTATGCCACCTTACCACAGGAACACAGCTAAAAATATATGTTTTTCGTTCTGTACTAATTAGTTAGTGAATCAACTTTAAGAAGTTTAATTATATTAGTGTAATTAGAACTATTCACCTTTCGCAGAGTTGAACCCAGAGACAATAATACAGAAAATTCAACTTCCAACACGTTTTTCTGTACGCACTAGAGACGGAAACGGGTCAACCAGACATGACCCGAACTAGACTCGACTCGAACGTGAGTTGATCCGAACTCGACCCGAATTAATATCTTATAAGTTGGCCAGAATCCGAACCGACCCGAACGAACTCGAAAATTTTTCAACTGTGATCCGATACATACAAATGTTGTCGCACATATTCACAAAGAAAGACTTCTTTCCTATGGAAAAGTTATCTTAGTCAGATTGTTTTGAAATTTTTTCAAAAAATAGTCAGATTCCTTACGGTTTCTGTCCTTTTATGAGTGGAAAAGTTTGGATAATTCAGGCAGTTTATCTTATATTGAACGAAACGGGTCAGCTAGATGTGATCCGAACCCGATCCATTTCGGTCTCTGGTAGGTACAATGTGCGGAAACACTTCCTTCATGGTGTAAAACTAAAAATAATAAAAAAGGTCGCATTTTCATCCTAAGGGAGCTTTTCCTAACTTTATATCAAGAGAAAAAAATGTTGGAATTTAAAATGTCCACTGTTTTCTTGGTTTTCGACTTCGAAGAGGACACTCTGGACTATCTACTTACTCACGACGAAAAAGTCACCATTGCCGCTTCAATTTCTGGAGAATTTTTGCTTTTTCGGTTTTTTATTTATATAGCAATTTAAAAGGATAGGGAAAAATCAATATACTACACCCGAACCAAAGATGGAATATTTTCGCTTATATGGGAGCGTGTGTGTTGCTTATCCTATGCCAGACAGAAAAGTTGATATCATAAAGCCATACTGGATATTCACAGATAGCTCGTGATAATCTCTTCCGACCTGAAACAAGACAAAGATAAGATGCTATGTCTGAATATTGTGTAACAAAAACAAACTTACTCATTGCGCTTATTAGTATCTCTTATATAATTTTCTGTTGAAGAAATGTAAGGATGGGTGGGCGGCAGCGTTTGCTTGAATACTGATAGGGCACTATTGAAATATTGCAAAGCTAACTTGTCTTCTTCTTTTCTATGATACAATTTTGCAATGGCCATGTAACTCATGCCAATATTTGAATGATTTGGAGGTAGATATTTTTGTTCGATAATGAGACTTTGCTTGAAACTGCCTAAAGCTACATCGTATTGACCTTTATTCAGTTGAAGATAACCAATATTTTTATAAACCAGAGCAATGTCGGCATGAACAGGTACGATCGAGTCAGACATGAGTTTCAACGCTTTTTTGTAATACGTTATTGCCATTTCATGTTCCATTGTCTGCCTGAATACATTTCCAAGATGGTAATAGCTGTATCCAATTCGTAAATCATCTGCCGGATAGTGTTCTTGCCGGATGTTGAGAGCTTTCTGATGATAATCAACTGCTGTCTGATAATCACCTTTCTCTTGCGCAATAACCCCGAGTCCATGATAACATATGGAAATAGCTGGATCATTTTGTTTCAATTCACGCATTGTACGGTTATAATAAATTTCAGCTTTATCATATTCTCCTAGTTTTAATAGCAAATCACCAGGATTCTCTAAATCTCTCTGCATATATCGAACAAGATCTTTCATATCGTTATCATTTTCATCACACAATGTTAGTTTCAAATGCCAAACTTCTTCGTTTTCGTTGAAAATAACATTGTCTATGCGAAAAATCGAACCGAGCATAAAAAGAACCTCTTGTTCTACGGGAAAACAACTGAAGTACGATATGTCACAGAATGGCTTTGTTATTTCTATGCTTGTATCGATTTCAATACGTTGCATCAAATGATCATTGATAGTCTCTTTAGTGAACTGAAGTGCGATATCATATTTATGACTTGCTGACAAGAAACTGTTGATGCTTATGAACTGACCAACACTCTCTCTTATACGAGTTAATTCTCTTTCGGGCACCACCTGTCCTCGATAGACATGTAAAGTGGTTTCATCTCGTTGTTTCAACAGACTCAAGTATCGAATATGTTCACTTTTAAGCAACTTGTACATATCAGAAATGAAAAATGCATACGGGTACAATATATCCATGTTTTGAATACGTAGAGCTTTATTCAATAGTTTATACAGACAACAATGTTTCGTGTACCACCAAAATGCTTTTGTGGGCTTGTAAGTCTGTTTAAATTCTTCAATAATGTCTTCTTCCACAGAGTTTCCAGCGTAATAAGTTTCAAAAATATTTAATAGTTCATCTTTCTCTGTTGAGGAACGTGGTATTGCAATTAGGGTTTCAACGAATAACTGAAACCATGCAAATTCGATATTTTCATCTTTTAAATTTTTGTGTGTGCTCTCAACTTTAACATTGTAAACCGAGAGAGGAGCTGATTGTTCAACAGCATTGCGTACTTTTTGGTCTTCAATAATTGATGTAATCAGCCCTTCGGTTTCAGTAAATACACCAGTAATCTAAGAAAATGCATGAAGATGATTTCTCTAAAGTTTTAACATGCACATTTTTGTGGTCTATATGCGACACTTATTACAGCGTAATGACTCTTCCAGCATGAATAGATCTTAACAAATTATAGAAAACTAATACCAGAGCTACCCTTTGATAGTACGCAGTTTTGGGTTTATGGAGAGTACGACGAAAAATGACTAACAGGAAGTGAGAATATCTCGACTTTCTGTTGATATAACTGATATATAACACTGGCATACCATCTTTGTCAGTTTCAAGTAGTTCGCGATCTTTCTTGCAACCGATAATCTCCAGATGTGTCCCCCACTTCCCATCCAATTGCTAGGTATCAAAATTAGTTCTTGATAGCACGTCGGCTTTTTCCGGAGTTGATCCCGCAACGAACTGAGTCCCAATCTGCTCTGATAAACAAAAGCCGGTGTCCCAGAGGAACTCGTATCTATTATATCCGCCTAAAGCATCTCAGGTACACTGTGAACTTGAAATATTGTGTAGGTCTTTTGAAGAATGCTGATAACTCCTGATTCAAAGGGAATCAACACTGTACTTTTGTATCAAAATGTAGCAATGATTGTCATTCTGTTTTGGTATAAAATTAATGTGTGAACTGTTTATGGTTACTGAACTAGAGCTACACAACCATAAAGTTTGAAAAAGTAGAGGGACAGCACAGACGTTTCCATACTCTTTTCGCAGGAAACGCACGTTGCCGTGGAAACAAAGGCTTTACACGCGTGTTCCTGCGGTTTATTTTTACACACTCGCAGCTTCTTGCACGTTATTATTCAAAACTCGCTAAAAGCGTTAAAGTTTTCGTAAACAGAGCTTCCTGCGCTTTTCTGGAACGACTATGACTGACTGGGCTTCTATCTTATCCGACTACCCATCCGACCGACTATTTTACCAATTTTTCACGCTGAAAACTTACCAAGATTTTTATCAAAAAATGAAAATCAACGAAAATTTTCGAAACATGTATCATTCAACTAAGTTTTGGACCCCGACTTGAATGTGTTTTTTTATTGTGTAAAAGATGATTTCTGATAGAGGAAACAAAGAATTACAGGAAGAATTTCTATTTATTCGCAGCTGATACAGAATAAATGTATTTCCATAGTAATAAAGCAAAATAAAAACAGATAACGTGAATCGGATTGATTCACCAAGTCCGTTGCCTGTAAGTCGAATGAATGTACTGGCGGAATTATTATTCATTCCGTTGTAACTCGATCTTGTTACTACAGAACTAATGGATATTTTTTACGATGAGAACGTCCATATTTTTCACCTTAGTTTACAGAAGCAGTTGCTATAGCTTTTCATCGGTCAGAAGTCTATCAGAGTGAGTACATGTTTCGAAGCCAAGTATGGAATAGAAGTTAAGTCTATCAAGGCAGCATGAGTTCACAAGTTATGTGACCCTCAAAAATTTGAAAGCGTCATAGCGTTATTTACTCAATTTGTGTAGTTCACCGAGGCTCTGTAATTTGATTTGGTTTTATCTGTAATACAGACTTTCGAAATGGACGTAATATTACCAAATCTCTCAGTCTCCTACCCTTGATAACGGAACCTAAGTAAGGACGACGTTTGGCCTCGTTCGTCGAAAAGCAGCTGCCAGATATATCGTGGATAAGCCAGTCATAAGGAAGAAAAGTAGAAATTTTTTAAGCATGAGAGAAAAAACAAGTAACGCTCGTCCGCACTCGCTTCTTTTGACATTAGGAGCTTATATCTGCGAACGATCCTCCATGACTTTGATTAGAAAATAACACTCACACCTCGCTTCGGTCGGTGTGCGCTTGGGACTATCTACAATGCGTTATGAATAGTTCTCTGATTTGATGTATCAGCTTCACAATGCAGTTTAAATCTATAAAAGTTTTCTCGAGACCCCCCCAAAGAACTCCAGAGGTCTAAAAATATATCTGTAAGAATTCTTTTCTTTTTAAAAATCAATGTTTTGCAATTTTTCATCCTAAAATGACTGCAGGAGGTCCAAAATGGACTTTTTTCCATGTAACTCGATGAGCTCGATTCATCTATAGTCGAGAAAACGAAAAAAAAATTCTGTTTTACTTTTACATTATTGGCATCTTAAATTTTTGGCACGTTTGATTTTCTCAGCTTTATTTCTTTCTTTTGACATGTATTACACATAATAAGATTCAGGTTTTTACACGAATAAAAGCAGATATTCTGATAGCAAAATATGTGACGAGAAAATCTATGCGTCGACCAGAAAGGAAAACCAGAATTCTCGTTACATGATAGAACCAAGTCATGTAAAAGTTTAAATTTCCGTTTCTTTCTAAAGTCCTATTCGACATTCATCTCTGTAAACAATTCTGTAAATCAAGTTCTTCGAACTGGAATGCCACAGATTTTACTCTTAGCAAGAAAAAGCGTTCTCACCGCAAGAATGTTTCAGTGAAGAAAACACAACGCTATAACTCAGTAAATATGATTACAATTCTTAGATGAACTAGTCTTTGAAAACGTCTCAATTTACAAACATTACTCTATTGTGCTAGTTTTATGTTCAGATAACGAATCGGATTGAACAATAAATCATAATAAAGAATAGTGATCATAAAGTGGGCAGCTGTGGTGACCATTACCCCTGGAAAGCAAAAGCCGGATTCAGTATTTGAGCTTTTTTGATACCATAAAAGAATGTTTTGAGAAAAGTGGATATACCATTAGATAGCGCGTGAAATTTTGTACAAAACTGTGTATTTCGATTTTATCTTGACTTTATGTATTGAAAAATAAATCGAGTGAAATGAAGATGCCCTCAAGATGAGATTCCCAAACGCCTATATTTTTCACTATCACTAGTCCTCTCGCTTTTTTGCTCTTAAAAGTATATAGATTCATAGAGAATCTATAATTACAATTTATCTTTGCACTAATAATAGCGCTGAAATAAACAGAAAAGTCTTGCTAAAACAACCGATTTTTTTTTGTTTCTTAAAGAGATTAATCACTTTATACTTGGATTATTCTTCCGCACATAAAAGCAAGGAAAGACCAGAGTATATAGATTGATAGAGAATTTCAAGCACTGTCAGAATCTATAATTTTCTTTCTTAAAAACTTATTACTATAGTGGCTGAATTTCGAAAAAAGGAGAAAGAATAGATTTTTGGTTTTTGTCAACTACAATACGCTCACTGAGCACTCGAATTTTTTTTAATTGATAGATGTTAGAAAATAAGTTAATATACAGGGTTATAGAGGATTTCTAGGGCTATCAGAATATCTACTTAATTTTTCAAAAGACCACTGTTTAAGACATAATCTATCTGAAGTATTAATTGGAAAAATGGTGAAAAATACAGGCGTGTAGGAATCTGATCTTGAGGGCATCTTCATTTCACTCGATTTATTTTTCAATATATGAAGTCAAGATAAAATCAAAATACACAGTTTTGTACAAAATTTCACGCGCTATCTAATGGTATATTCACTTTTCTCAAAACATTCTTTTATGGTATCAAAAAAGCTCGAATACTGAATCCAGCTTTTGCTTTCCAGGGGTAATGATACATACAATGAATCTCAAAATTATTGCCCACCAGATATATCTTGCTTCACTTTAATTTTGTTGATTTGGACTATATTGAACCTTGCCTAAAATAATGGTTGGCAATAATTTTGAGCTTCATTGCAACTATCATGCATGCGCACCCTAACTGTATAATCGGATTCGTTATATTGTCGCATGATTAATTGTTCAATCCGACTTGATGAGTAGAATACAAATACGTTTCTACAGGATTACAGTGACGTGATCGGCGCCCACTATGAAAAATGATCAGCACGCCAAGTTCTTGCAGACAGATACCTCAAAAGTTTGTTAGAAACATTCACGTTTCAGTAGGTGAGGCATACTTCTATAGATTAGATACACCCTAATGGTTCCTATGATATATGGATCACAAGTACACCTGTGACCCATATACTATAGGAACCATTAGGGTGTTTTGAAGTATGGAAAAGACATTAGCTTCCTTTAATTGAGCTGCAAATAGATTACTTGCCATTTTGGTGATGGTCACCTTCACTGGTCAGGTGATTTTTATAGATACAGAGTTCGTATTATCCACTTTCAAAAAACAGGAACAGGCAAGGGGGAAACAGCGTACTTCAGTACTTCTTCGTACTTTTGCGCCTTTTCTACTTTGATATGGTCTTTACTCACTATGAAATATGACGTTCTTGCACAATCATGCCTAAATAATACATGGGCCGTACAGATAATATAAAACCCTACAGATCAAAGAAGATGTACTTCTTCGTACTTTCTGGTACTTCTCCATACTTCTGTACATCTATGTATTTCTGAAGTAGGAAGTACGCTGTTTCCCCCTTGGGAATAGAAGAGGATTTTTTTCGTTCGAAAAACACGCAAATCCTCAGAAATACAGGAAATAATCGAATGTAGAAGAACGGCAAGTGAGATTTATTACAATGTGTTAACTAATGCATTGCTAGATATAAACTAAAACTTCGCTTGATCTTTAAGGTTAAATCATAAATAAAGATTTAAATAATATTTAAAAAATGTTATACAGCATTAAGACATAGTCATAGATAATCTTATATATCAAGCTTATGCCTCTTTTTAATTACTTTTTAATTTACTTTTACGGAATCAGTTTTTTGGTCCTTAGTCGCGACCCGCCACGTCTAACATCATACTTCATCTTACTTTTCCCTTACTCTTCGTTTCTTTTCTTCTTTGTCTTTCATTTTTTTTTCATTTAGCATTTCGACATGAGTGTGTAGAATTTATACAATCAGTCTTTATGAGGACATTCTCATACTTAGTGTAAACGTCATTTCTGTTAGTCTGCTCTTCTCTTGTTTGATTGGATAAAATAAAAATATTTGTCTAAGTGGCTGATTGGAAGAAGGAAGAATACCCCACTATTCGACCACCTTGCGGTATAGGATGCTGTCCGGAGACAGCTTCATATGCCCAATATCTTCCCTAAAACTAATACTAGCTGTACCTGGACAGAAGGCCAGCCTGACTTAGGGTGATTGAGTTCACGTAAGAAGCAAAGACTTTCTAACAAATTTTACCACAGTCAATAGTACGACTGCAGTCAAAATACAGGAAAATTTCCAAAACTAGGATAAAACAGGATGTTCTCATACAAAAACAGGAAATAGAGGAAAAACAGGACAAATACGAAGCCTGCAGGTACGGACTCTTAAGGTTAACACAGACAACGTTCATCGAAAACGAGTCTTTAGTCCATAATTTTAGATCCATGATATAGGTCGATTAGATAATATGAGGTACGTTCCTGACGAGTTATTCTGTATAGTTTTTCAAATCATAACAATTAGTTCCTACCTTTTCGTAGTTTTTGGCCCATTGCTCGTATGTGTTCTTGTCAAAGCAATAAATGTAGATTGAAATCAATTGAGGAAGATCGTGTAAACGGGGAACAATATCTCTACCCAAGCTACCCGAAACGATAAAGACAATTTTATCATCTGTTGCTTTTTGTATGAATTCTTCACAAGTGTCTGGCTGATCAAATGTTTTTAGAAAATTAATAGCACTTCGTAAACGTTGTTGCGTATATAAGTTATCTTCCGTTATGTGAATGTTGGCATCGAGCCATAATAATGAAAATGTTTCTAAATTCGAGGATGGACTGTGCGACATTTTCAGTGAGTAAAATCGTCGTAGAATGTGAGTATTTGATATCCTTAAATAAATATTTCTCTCCTTGTTGTTGTGTAAATTACATTATATAGGTAAAAGAATGAATGACAGTAAAGGTAGATGTCTGAAGGTTTATTGCTTGAATATTTAAAATTTTCTTCTTATGATACAAACAGGTTCTTTTCGCACTTTCAACCACAACATCATGTGAAGCAGCGAAACTAGAGTCTATTTTAGAATCGTAAAGTATCGAACCGACTATGAGTGGATCATAGGTTTTTTAATTTGAAGGAAAATAGTTAGTTTGGCTGGTTTCGAACAATAACCTGGTCTTAGTTGTTAGTTTAAATTCCAATTTAAACAATTGTGATATACGTCCTATATGGTACATGTGGGCTGCAATACTTCATTTGTGTTGCAAGTAAACTATATTTAAGAACATTTTTTTTGAATTATCTGCTAAAAGCTAACGAGCAGCCAAGTTTTACAAAGATAGTACTAAAATATAAATATTGATTAGGTCAATTTACAATGCACTATAAATGTTGCAAAATACTTGTGAAAGCAAACATCATTTTATGATTCCTCCAAATAATAAAGCTGAAATGTGCTACCAAATTACTGTGATAAAAATGTTTAGTATCTTTTAAAAACATCAACGTTTTTAACCTTTTTGAGCCGAACATATATCTTCAACCCGTTGAAATATTTAACTAGAATAAAAAAAACAAAGTATTGTGCCTCTATCGATGATATGTATGCAATATTTCAAGTTCACAATTCTTATGATTCTCTACACACGAGATGCTTTAAGGAGGGGGGGATAAACGTCCCAAACCTATCCTCAAATTATGCGGTTTGTAGAGCGTGTTGAGTACTATGTATCTTCATGAAATATCGAAAATCAGCCGCTAGAGCGAAAATTTTGACCAAAGTCCAACGTC